GACAGTCCGGGGGTAGTAGTTCCACCAAGGCGCTAGACTCACCATCAAAAATCCAAGATTCCGTGACGAATAGAAAATCCAACTCCTGATCTTTAAAAAAGTCATTGAGGATAAATGTCTTGTTGGAAACAGACCTTGCGTTGATTAAACACATCCTGATATGGTCCAACACAGGCACGGCCGTGGAGGGAGACGCACGTGCCAGCGGGCGCAGGTTTTGAAGAACAGCTCCTCCTGGTCTGCTGGTGCGGCGCACAGGTAAACAACTCCAGGTGTTCACATGGACTGAGCGCGCGGGCAGCTGGCCAGCAGCCGGGCCCCTGGAGCACCATGGGTCAGAGAGGAGGTGATGAGATCCAGAGCGAGTCCTGATAGAATAATCCACACTTTGCCTCAGTTTCACCAAAATCCCTGCACGCTTCCCACGACGTCTGTGACGTTTCCTCCATGGAGAAAGACCAGGGTCACGCAGAAGGAATGCAGGAATCTCAGATAGGACCGGTGGAGGAGAGTGCTGGCCGCTGTTCAAAAACTCAGCGGGAATTTCAGCAAATGTACGGAGCTCCAAAAGTGCCTGACGATAATACTGAAAATATGACTCGGCACACTGCACAAACCATTGTAAAAATAACAAAAATACAATACAAGCAGAGAGCGAGAGACGGGCAGCCCTACACACCGGCGCCATCTTGGAATACCTCTGCCTTTGCCTCTCCCTATCGGTACTGTCTCCTCTTCTGATCCTGTGTATGAACCCTGCTCATCCTCGAATATGCCTCTGGACTTCCCTTAGTCTTTGCAGCTCTGTGTCTCCGCTGGAGCGTCCCGTTACAACAAGAAAGGTTAGTGTTTCATCAGACTGTCTGTATTTAGATAACTACTCGTTATTCTGTCAAACACTAACCTTTCCCTTCTGTATCATTTTAGATACAGTTCCTGCCCCTGGATCTGAAACACCAGAAGCTGTTTATTTACTCAATAAACATTTTAAAAACCTTTCTGAGTTTGTGTGTAGGATCCTCTGCCATCAGATCTCTGACACCAGTGACTTGGTGGTGTCCCTGAAAAGGACGTCAAGGCTCTCTTTTCTACCTCCTCTATGTACAGGTTGGCAACAATAGGAGAAACTGGAGAACCCATAGCACACCCATGTTTCTGCCTATAATATTGGCCCCCATATGTGAAGTAGGTTGACCGCAGGTACAGTTTCAAGAGTTGACACAGTTGCTCTGTGGAAAGCGTGGTCCTGCTGCTCAGAGTGGTGTCTGATTTTAATCTTAAACGGACCACCTCTACTGCATCATCAACAGGAATGCACGTAAAGAGTGATGTGACATCAAAAGAGGCCATTGTTTCATCAGTCTCCATGATGACATCCCTCACCTTATCCACAAAGTCCATGGTGTTCTGTGTAGTGATGCAGGGACAGCTTGCACTGTAACATACTACTAATTAATTATTCTTAAAGCTAGTTCAAGCACAAAGAATATTAATTGTTTAATTACAATAGATTCTTTCTTTTTCGAGTTAAATTTCTGCCATGTGACCAAGATAACTTGTGGCGTGGACTGGTAATTAGTGGCATGAGACGTAATTTATCTTTGACCCATCAGAATAAATGTGGTCATTTATTTAACAGAATCAAAATTTAACATCAAAACATGCACACTTGATTTGCTGATCTGTTTCTGATTAATAAACTTGGCACAATTTACTAAACAAGACAACAGAAGATTACTGATTGAGACTGATTCATCTCTGAAGGCATCTAGCTTGATTTACTGGTGAATAGAAGTTTAAAGAGAAGGAGAATAGAAGTTTAAAGATTTAAAGAGGAGGTTTAGATGGATGAGGGAAGATGTGTTGAACCAGAAAATGGCACCCTTCCTCCGAATCCAGCTCAGCCCTCCGGTACACTCAGGGCGTCAACGGCTTGTTATCTGAGGTGGTGGATACATCAACTCCGGAACAGATGTCCATTGGCATGCTACCTTTTCAGCGTCTCCGGTCAGGGTGGCTGAGAATCTTTAGAAGTAGTTCCATATGCTCCGATCAACAGAATAAGCTTCCTTCAAAGTTGAGAGCATGTACTGCTCGGGGTGAGTCACAGCGAGGCAGCTGGGACTCCGCTGAAATGGAGGGACCCTTGGCACATGGTCCAATCCATCAGCTATTTAGTTCAGCTGTAAGACTCCATCAGACTGAGTCTCATCTTCGACTGAAAGTTCCAGGAAGACTGGAAAGACCAAAAGACTGGAAAAGACTGAATAGTTTCAAGAAGTGTTGCCTTTTAAAGGGTATCCACTTCCTGTCACTTGGTACTTCCTGATTGGTTGAAACAACCAGCAGGGGTGTAGTTTTAGTGATGTCAGAGGGTTATTAGAAGTCAACAGACAGCAGAAATGTTTTAAGAACGGTTAGTACAGACAGAGAAATATTTTGAAGAAGTGAGAGAAAGCAGGTGCCAGCCAGTTATTTACTGTCTGAGAGATTTAAAAACAAGGCAATTTGTTCTTATTAATTGTCTCTGACTTTCGACCGACATCAGGTCCACTCCTCAAACAGACAGAAGAGTGAATGCACACTTACTTCGTAAATAGACATTTACTTGTATGATCCAAGTCTAATGAGGTTTAAAAATCATTAATAATGTTTCACAGTTGATTTAAATGAGTGGTTTACTTCAACATTTAGAAATGGTATGAACTAAACACACTTTTGATTATCAAGATATTGTAAAATAGTAATGATAATGTAAAATAAAAGTGTTCTTTCAATTGATTAGTTCAGGATACAATTAAATAGTCTCTTGATGATATAATTTGTATTTCTGGATTCAAATCAATGAAATAACAGTTCCTGTCCCCTGAAGGTCTTCAGAGACAGATTGATGTCGGAGGTCTAGTTCACTACACCTGTATGTGGTGTTGTGAGGTGCCAACTAAAGGAATGAGTACAGACACCAGATATTTGGAAACATTGTAAATGACAGAGTAAATCATGCTGACAATTGGTCTTAATGGTACACCTTGTTTGTGAATTTTAGGTAAACCATACAGACTAGGTGTCGCCTCCCCTGGGTACAGTCTGTGGTACAGAATATAGTCAATAGCCTTGGCTTGTTTCAACATTTTCAGGCAATCTATCAACTTCTTCTTGTAGCCACTTCCTGGATCTCTTTTCAGTGGCTCATAAGTGGTTAACCACAAAAATGGGAGGGAGGCCCCTTGACGTGACATGGGCTGTCTGTATTTGGTTCTGAAAATGGCGAATACTCAGTGTGGTTTTTAATTAAAAAAAATCAGTAAATAAGTTTTACCGATTACAGTAAACAAATTCTCAGCTTCTTTTTGCAGAGAAAAACCACATTTTACACGAAGGCATGGGTTTCAACCGTGAATTTTGGAGCTTCGACAAGACAGAGGTTTTTTCACGAGGTCGGCCTGTTACCTTAGCTTCTCATCTTAGATGCTTTTAGCAATGCAAAAATGCAATTTTTGACAGTCAAAATGGATTTTAAAGAGAAAGGGAGGGGTCAGTGAAGAGCACTGGAGTTTAGCATTTTGTCATCCAGTGTCTTCAGTAGAAAGAGAGACATGAAGAAATGATAGTCAATAAATGAAAATGAGGTCGATAATTTTCATTTACCTTGCGATTAATTGATAATTTTTTTTTATTGCGACAGGCTTAGTGATTATATTTTTAATCTGTCCTCTATGAGTTGAAATACTGTTCGCTTATAAACATTGAGACTAGATTGATAAATGGTGATATCTGAAACAACTTTTAGGGTTTTGACCAACATTCTCCAAACTGAATAAACCGTAAGGATCCATGTTGTTACCTGTCGATGGATAAAAACAACAGATCCCAGGAGTCGCCATGTTCCTCCCTGACGATCCACATGGAGCATACGCAGGATCTGGAGGAAACGGATGCCCCTGCGATACAAAAATCCACCCATCATGTCATAAAATTTTGACCCAACTTTAACTACATGTAAATATTTTAATCCCTAACAAGCTCCTTACTGTACCTGATGGCTGACGTAGCAAACACTTGGCCATTTGACCCAACACCAAGCACAATGATGGAGGCAATGACCACTATTAAATCTGTGAAAATTTAGCAGCAAAATTAAAGACTTTTAGCTTAGTTTCAATTCAAATATAAAACATTTACCAAATAAAGTGTTCATAGGAATACACCTTTTCTACCACCTTCCATGTCAGAGGTTCAAATTATAATCATCTTATGAAGAGAATTGATGCATAAGAGGTTGACTATCAGCTACTACCACACTAACTTTTAGTTCAATATCTGTAAAACTGACTGAGATATAGCCATTTTTATATTGTTTAAATTCAACTATTTGTGGTGGCCATCTTGAATTAGAGTGACTAAACAGTTAATCAGTTGTAGATGTATCTCTAATGATTATCTTCTAAAGTTTTACAGAAATATATGTTAGGGAATTCATGAGATATTTTGCTAACAGACAGTTAGCTAACAGACACCTACATCCAAAAGCTAATGCCAAAGTTAATCAGTAGATGTACATCCAACAAATACTTTCTGACGTTCTCAATAAAAACCATCCACTGGTTCATGAGATGTTTTGCCCATGATAAGGGCACAGGTGCACACACATGCAGAACTATGATCACTGATTATCTCTGGCGTTACTCTAGGAGCCTACAGTAAGATATTTATTGTGTTAATCAGAAAAAAAATGAGAAAACCAGGAGCACCTATGATTGATATGGGCTTCCTGATGAAGCGGAGGCGTCCTCTGATGCCTGCATATTTGCTGCGGCAGCCTGCCGACCACAGCCGGACCACATACTCCGTTCCAAAGAAAAGCACTAGCACAATCTCCTGTGGAGAACAAACAGAGATCAGCAAAGGGTTAATCACTCACACTGAGACGAAACGCCAAAAAACATGTACAGAACCACAGGATCAAGAGGCAGGAAAGGTGTGGCGATTGTTAAGTGTTGTGCTTTCCCTGGTCTCTGTCTCCCTCTAGTGTTCCATATTTGTCTGTTCCCCCCTGATGTCTGCACCTGTGATGTTTCACAGGTGTTCTGTGTTGGTCTTGTTAGTGTGTGTGTATTTAAGTTTGTTTGCCTGCGTCCCTCATTGTCTGGTCATTGTGTCTCACTGTGATACTCCTCGTGCCCTGCTCCTTGTGTCCTGCGTCCTGCCCCATGATTTATGTAAGTTTGCTGCCCCGTCGGCCATCTTTGTTTTGTAAAGAATAAATTATTGATTTATATTCCCTGAGTCCTGCCTTCCTGCCTGCACCAAATGGGTCTCCTGCCTAGAAATCATCACAGTGATAACATGGGAGTGCACATTAACACTAATCTAAGGCCATTTTAACCAATAACCAAGATTTACAACGTGAGAGGAGGAAGCAGTGACAAGTGTGTGAATTGCAAAAAGAGACACAGAGGTGGTCTAGCTGTTCCAGGACCACCCAGACACACAGATGGAGAGACAGCAGCTGATGACGGCTCAAATTAAAACAAAGTCTACGTGATTAAAGTTATCAAAAGAAACATTACACAACATTCTAACAAAACTATTGAATCGTTTGCTCAGGTGTTAAGCTTTTGTCGTGAATAAAATTCTAATTCATTCAACCTTTATTTATACAGTTAATTCCATTGACACTTGCTGACTCATTTACAAGAGAGAACTGATTTTAACAAAGAGTGATGACAACAGTGGACAACAAAGACAACAATAGACAATCATAAAAGATGCAAACAATTTTTTTTTTTTTTAACAAGTGAAAATAAATGGTAATTAAAAGGATAATTAAAAGGAAAAGTAGCAAAAAACAGCTAGATTGTAAGGAGGTGTAGAAAACTAAAAACAGGAACATAAGTGCATTGGTTTTTGCCATGGACTTAACAGATGTTTAAAGCCACTTAGAGAGGTCAAAGTCGAAAGCTTCAGATCTTCTTGCAAGATATTCTAGGAAACAGGAGAGGAGTAGGAGAAGGCCCTTTTGCCTAGTTCAGTCTGCACTGAGGGAACACTACATTTAATAATGTCCTGAGAGCGAGAGGATTTTCCAGAGGAAATTAGGTCAATTTGTTCTCTAGTAGTCTAAGCTTAAGACAGCATAACAAGCCAACCCTAACATAGGATTTATCAAAAAGGAAAGTCTTAATCCTAATCTTAAAACTGGACAATGTGTCAGCCTCATGGACAGAAACTGGAAGTTGGTTCCACAAGAGGAGCCTGATAACTGAAAGATCTTCCTCCCATTCTGCTTCTGGAAAATCTAGGAACCACAAGTAAGTCTGAGAATGAAGTGCACTGTTAGGGAAATATGGAACAATAAGATCTGTAATATAAGATGGAGCTAAGGTTTTGTAGGTAAATGGTAAATGGACTGTACATATACAGCACCTTTCTATCTTATTTCAAGATACTCAAAGCGCTTTACACTACAATCTGTGTCCTCATCTACCCATTCATACAGCGCTCTACTAGATCTCTACAAAGCTAATTGAACAAATCATTCTAATGAGACTAACCATTGCTTTAGCTCACATTCATACACTGATGGGACACACATCAGAGGCTATGAGGGGTTCAGTGTCTTGCCCAGGGACACTTCAGCATGTGTCTGCTGGTGGATTCGAACCCCCAACTCTTGCATTGGAGGACGACTGCTCTAACCACTCAGCCACAGCCGCCCCCAATAAGGTCAATAATAATAATAATAATAATAATAATAGGTCAGAAGTAAGATTTTGAATTTTATTCTGGATTTGACAGGGAGCCAGTGGAGGGAAGCTAGAACTGGAGAGATATGATCTCTCCTACTAACTCCAGTTAAGACTCTGGCAGCAGCATTTTGGATCAACTGAACACCCAGATAATAAACCATTATAATAGTCCAGTCTAGACTTGACAAATGCATGAACCAGTTTTTCTGCATTGTTTTTAGATGTTTCTCCTTTTCGCGATATTACGCAGGTGGAAGTATGTGGTTCTAGTAACATTTTTAATGTGGGGGATAAAAGACATGTCCTGATCAAAAATAACACCAATATTTTTAACATTAGAACTGGAGGCCAGATTAATGCTATCTAAGGAGGGCGAAAGACTGAAAAATTTATTCCTAAGATGCTCAGGTCCAAAAACTAAAATCTCAGTCTTGTCTGTGTTCAAAAGCAGAAAATTTAGGGTCATCCATGTTTTTATGTCTTTAAGACATGCTTGTAGTCTAAGTAGCTGATTACATTCATTGGGTTTCATGGACAAATATAACTGTGTATCACCAGCATAACAATGACAATTTATCCCATGCTGTTTAATAACATTACCTAAATTACTACTACATTACGTAGACTGTACATCAGTGAATCTTTCAGAAAATGGGCCAACACTTGGTGTAGTAGTAGTCGACACCATTCTGTGTTCGTCTTTCTCGCCTTCCTGTCCTCTCAAAGCAGCCGGTCAAAGCAGATGGCCACTTGTCCTGAGCCTGGTTATGCTGGAGATTTCTTCCTTTTAAAAGGGAGTTTTTCCTTTCTACTGTTGCCACTGTGCTTGCTCAGAATGGGAGACTGCAATGAAGCCAAGATTAAACTTGTCTGCTGGCCTCCTTAGATAGAAAACTTTACTAATTGGCTTATTAATTGGCTTACTAATTGGTATGTGAATGTTTCTGTAAAGTGCCCTGAGACAACTTTGATGTGATTTGGCGCTATATAAATAAACTGAATTGAATTGACAGTCACAGCACATATTCAAAGTGCTAAGATTTTTGACCAAAATGACCACAATTTTGTCAACCCTCAAAACAAGGTGATCATGGTATTAAACTCTGTTCTGAAACAGGGTGAACAAAATGTATTCCTTCAGAAAAGCTATGACTTTAATAGAGATTTAGTAGTATATATGGTATAAGTTCATCAAAATGAAGTTCAAATCAAGTTCAAGTCCATTTACATCACATGTGGTACATGGGTGGAACGAAACTATATACTCAGGGTTCCAGTTACATCAAACAACAGCAAGAAACAATACATAACTTACCATACACACACACACACACACACACACACACTATAGTATAGTATAGTATAGTATAGTATAGCGTAGTATAGTATAGTGTAGTATAGTATAGTATAGTATAGTATAGTATAGTATAGTATAGTATA